CCGCTCACTCCTTTTACTTCGTTTTTATTCCACACTTTTTTTTCAATTTTGCCATTTTTGCTTTTTTCGAGCATTTCTGATTTGCAAATTCGACATTTCATCAGCGCGTTGAATGCTACCCATCAAAAATTATTGTATATAAAATAATAAATTACAATAATTAAGTGCAATGAAAAAGGTTGTAATTCACACAATGTGCACATGTTGGCACCCTCTTATATTTAAACATAGGTTTGGGTTGCACAACAAGATCTGTGCGTTGCAGCAACAACGAGCTGAAGCTGAAGCCGTCGCAGCAGCAGCAGCAGCAACTACTGCAATCCTTTAACTTCTGTCACAATCTTCTGCCAACAGAGAGATGTTGGCAATGATGGTACAAGACTTGCACTCAACACGTCACTCCCTCAATTGCTCCAGCACAGTGTTTGTGCTCCAACCTTTGCAAGAGGGTGCAGTGTGTGGTGTTAGTATGCGGCACATAGCGTGTCTGCGTTTCTTTCCCATTGTGGTGCACTGGTGTACGTGCAGAGTTGTAGTTATCAGTCAGCAGCATGTCTGTTGATTTTGAAGTTTAAATGAAGTCTAAAGAAATTTCTGAAGCCTTTGGCAATGAGTGGTTCGATTAAAAAAAGCCACTCAGAGCTATTATTACTCAAATTGTGTGGTGCAACTATATGATTTTAGAGTTGCCAAGTGCTACTGTGGATTTGTGCAAAAATGAATTATAAATTGGCACGATAATAATTCGCATCTTCGCAGTATTGAGTTATATACGTGATTATGTATTTATTATTACAAAATGGAGTTGAAGTGGGTAATATCATTAAGTATAATTTTTAATAATAATTTAAAAAGTTTTGCATTATTTGAACAATTGACCGATTAGCCCGTTTCAAAAATAAAAATAATAAATAAAATATTCGTTATTTAAATAATAAATTGCAATTGCAAGTGTAAATTAAAATTAATTGAATTTTAACTAAAATAAATAAATACTTCTCACATATAATTATTAAGGTACTTGAATATTCCACTTTGGCTTTTATTATTGATAGATTAAATTAATACAATCAAGAAGTTTACATTCTTTTAATCACAGTTGTTAGTTGAATTTATATTGATGTAGAACAATATATGTATCAACATATACAAATGATAACAAATTCCTGATTATTATTTTGTTTCGATAGAATTAAACATAAAACTGAATTTATTGTTTATAAGCGAGTATTTCCATGTTGAAGGTAGGTAGGATCGAGCTTTATCTAGCTTTTGTCATATGATGTTTTCAATTTTATCATAGACTTAATCACTCACAGAGCAGGTGGTGTTTGTCTACTTTCGACTTAGTAAGCAATTAGGATGTAGAATTCTTGACAGACCAAAATTTCGCTTATTTTACTTATGCTTCGATATGGTGCAGAAGCATAAACGCAAATTATGCAGACAGATCTTAAAAAAAATAACTGGAACAATAAAAAAAATTAATATACATTGTGACCGAAAAGTTTCCGGAAATTTTAAATAAAACGCAAAATTCTTAATCTTCATCAATATTTATTTTATCTCCTTCAAAATATGCTCCATTAGAAGCGATACACAAATGCCAACGTTTCTTCCAATCATCAAAACATTTTTTATAGGCGCTTTCCGGTATGGCTTTGAGTTCCCTCTGCGAATTCTGTTTTACGTCTTCTATGGATTCAAAACGCGTTCCTCTGAGTGGTAATTTGAGGTTGGGAAACAGGAAAAAGTCACACGGTGCAAGATCAGGTGAATACGGTGGCTGTTCGATGGTATTTATTGAATGTTTGGCCTTAAAATCGTTGATAATGTTGAACAAATTGAGGTGAATCGGAACAAGCCGGGCGTTGACACGTCGCATACACAAATTGTCCACCAAAATCAAACGAGCCATCTCACGACCGATGCCTAGCTCTCGTGCTATCTCTCTAACACTCACATGAGGATTTTTGAACACGATTTCCTTTGCCTTTTCAATGTTTTCGTCGGTGGTAGAGGTCGAAGGTCGTCCAGAACGCGGCATGTCTTCGACGGTCGTACGACAGTCCTGAAAGGCTTTGTACCACTCATAAACTTGAGTTTTCGATAAAACTGATTCCCCATAAGCCTTTTGTAGCATTCGCAACGATTCTGCACACGAAATTTCGTTCGAAAAACAAAATTTGATGCAAACTCTTTGTTCAATATTTTTTTCCATTGTTTTTTTCGCAACGCACTACTGAGGTGAACTGGTTTCAACAGCTGCCGTAAACGAACTGTCTGACAGATCGCGCTCATTTTTGGCATAGTAATTAAGGACAGTGCTGCCAAACTACATAAACTTAAAATATCGAAAAATATACAGCGCGCGAATTTTAAATGAGAATTTCCGAAAACTTTTCAGTCTTAATGTATATTAA